AAGATGGGCTCCCAGAGGTAACAGAGGTGAAAATCTGACATAATAGATCCCAAGTGGAGGTGCTCAACTGTCAGAAGGGAAGAGGGTGCAAAGATTGAAATGATAAGAAAAGTCATAACGGTAGTAAAGGAAAGACTTTTTATCTACCTGACCTTGAACCTCACACCAGCATTGTCCAGTGGCTTAAACCACAGAGAGATAAGCTTGTGAATCCAAGAGCACAGGAATCCAAGAGGCAAATCAGATAGGAAACCACCCAGACGCTGCCTGATTCAAATAATTACAGCATATGCAGAATATAGAAAGCACGAGTATGGATGATCAGCAAGCTGAAAGCAGCCACTCCATGGAAAGCTGAGCTCCATCGCCCAGTTTCCAGGACTGAGCCACTTCTCAGACTCAGAACCCATTACTAGAATGAAAGGCCGAGTTCTGATGAGGTGAGACCCTTCAATCCCACAGTAAAGGCAATGATTCTTGCCTGTCTTCCCCAAATAGATATATGGCCCCTACAGATTGCCACGAAGGCCTATATTGGAAACATTGCAGGGTTTGTACACCACATAATCTCTGTTACAACTACCCAACTCTGCTGTTGGAGTGAGAAAGCCAAGATAGACGATACATGAATGATGAGTGTGGCTGGACCTGCCACTAAGGCCCTATGACCCAGGACAACCTATGATCCGAGCGGCATCAGGGACAGGAAAGGTGCTCTGTGGAGTTCATAGTTCATAGCAATTCTGAAGAGGAGAATCACAACACTGACCTCTAGTGTTCAGAAGCAAGGCCATGACACTCCCAGCAGGGAAATCACACCCTTTAAAGTGGCTCCCAGGTAGAGATGGGGCCTGTGGCCTTGGGATATCAGCGACCAGGCAGCCTCAGAGCTGCCAATCATGAGCTGGGCACTCCCCCACTAGGTCATTAGAGCCAGTAGGTAGACAGGCACAGCAGTCAGAAGATAGACGTGATTCCCTTGGGACTGACATGAACAAGGCCAGAGGGAAGAGAGAACCTGCAGGAGGTGTTGGCCCCGATGCCCAGGACACAGCATTGTTGCTCCAGCACCTCACCCTCTGCTCTCACGTGTGGTGTCAGGGAGTGTCCTCTCAACAGCAAAGGAGGGGGGCAGTGGCCCCAGACCATAGGACCGCTTTATCACAGCCACCACCCAGAAGCCACAGATAGGACGGGATCCACTTCAGACTCAAACTGGCAGTTGAGCCAGCACTTGGAGAAGATCCCCTAGGGGATGGGACACCACGGGTATAGTAAATCTGGGGTCAGAGCATGTTGTCTTTGGCTGCTTTTGCACTCCAGAGACATAGTACTTGTCACAGAGACGGATACCCAATGGCCCGCAAAGAAGAAACCATTTATTGCCTTCCCTTTATAGAAAAAGTTTGCCAACTCCTGTCTAATCAATGACTGTTGGGCCGGCCTGTGGCTCACTCGGTAGAGTGCAGTGCTGATAACACCAAGGCCCCGGGTTCGGATCCCACATAGGGGTGGCCGGTTCGCTCACTGGCTGAGCGTGGTGCTGACAACACCAAGCCAAGGGTTAAGATCCCCTTACCGGTCATCTTTAAAAAAAAAAAAAAATGACTGTTATGTAGGATGCCGTCTTTCCAAGAGGCAGAACAGGTGAGTCCTGGACCACAGGGTAGAAGTAGGTGTCCCCACCCGCCATCATCCCAGGGTCATCCGTG